AAAAACTTTATAGCATCTCATCGTTAAAAAAAACTATTTTAATCCTATATAATGGCAATAAAATATTTCCTAGAATTCATTTATATATTTTAAAGACTCATTAATTTAAAATGATTTTATAGGTACATATACCAATTAAAATACCTGCACACATCACTATTCAGAAAAGAGGCTGTATCCAGTTATCACGTGAATGCGTTTGTCAATCAAGGCTGTAAAAGCAAATAAACACGAACCCTTTCGCCCATACAGACAGCCACTTGTCAGTTCTAATTGACAATAGAAACTGAAATAGGCCGTGAGGGGAAAAAGGGAAAGTGGGAAAGTGACCGAGTGGGTGGGGCTTTTCACAAATCTCCGCCCGGGACACGAGGAAAAGTCGACCCTTGTTGAAACTCAATCAAACGCCCACGTAGTCGGTGAAAAGTTCAAACAATGAGGTTCCTGCCACTTTCGAGAAGTGAAAGTGCTGCTGATTCTGATACCATAAGACCGATGCTGATGCTGATGACGATGCGAATGCTAAAACTGCTGCCGGTCTCAGTTAAATAGACAATTTTGCACACAAATCCATTTAATCTAGAGATAAATAACATTTAGGGCTGGGCTCAACAGCACGCCCGCGCCAAATGTGAGACCTACACCCACACTTAAAAAAATGTAAATAATAAAATATTTTATAAATACATAATGTTTTTATACTACACAAACAGCATTAAAATATTTTTTTTACTCACAAAAATGTAAGATGATTAATTTTTTTAAACACAGAAATAAAATTAAAGTGATGATGTGAAAATATATATAATAAAAAAAATCTTTGGCTTAAAAGTTTGGTTTTCTATTGAAAAAATGTAATAGTATTTTGATTTAACTGTTATTTAATTTATTTGAATAAGTTTCCTCAGTTCACAATTCTTAATTTACGGAGTAGTGTCTTCGGCATATTATTAGACATATAAAACATACTTCGTAGATTAATTTTTCTTTTATTAAGCCTACCGAAAAGCTAAAAACTTTGTTGGCCAAATAGCCCCATATTTATTTTTATAGTGCACTCGAAAAGCCCAAAAGGTCCTTTTGGGGGGCACTTAACGCACCCGGAAAATTCTTACGCAGCAACCTAATGATTCCCCTGCAGATCCTGCGGTCCGCCCACAAAATGGCTGCCAAGGACCTTCGGCTCGGTTGCGTTTCCGTTTCCCATTCCTTCAGTATCCGCATCGACATCCACATCCACATCCGCATCCGCATCCACATCCACATCCGAGTCCGCTCGCATCGATTTGTGTGAGGCGGCAATAAAATCCTCTGTGATTAGGTTAAAACTGTTGACTTTCAAACAGGGCTCTCTGTGTGCTCGGTCTGCTGATGTTTTGCCTTTCCATCGAGGGTGAATCAAAGTGGTTAACCCCCTCGGAAACCCCTTGAATGACTGGGTAAATCGAAAGAGATAAAAAACCCAAATGGCATTCGGCACCAGAATCAACTGAAATGTGATTGTGCCCCACTCCCCGCCGTCTATCGACTCCTTTCGCCCCACCTCACTGGGTGACACTCATTTATTTAATGGTTTTAACTTCCAATTTTCCAATTGTCAAGCGTGCAGCCTGGTGGCCATTAACCAGCACCAAAAACCAAAAAAGTACCACAATGAAAAGTGCTTTCGAATAGAAAGTGGATAGTTAGACTAAGCCAAGGGCGAAGTTCCAGTACTCTTACAGTGAGATTTTATACTTATATTTTAAATAATTAGAATAAAATATTTTGTTTGAAACATAAACATCGCAAACTGTACGGATACTTTTGTAATGAAATAATTAAAAATATCTGAATAAAACGTCAATTTCTGAACAACTATATTCTAATTTTATAAATAATTTAAACAGCTTTATTAATGGCGATTGTACATCAAAAGGACTTTTATAAATAATAAATTCAGGACCTATTTCTTGCTTTAAGGTAATTGAAAGCTTAGCGTATCCATTTAATTTCACACATAGCATCTTAAAATTCATTAAGAAAGTAAAACTATTCATCTAATCGATTGCGATTTATTTTAATTAAGCCCCAAATATATGCAACACAATTGTCATCACCTCTTCTGCATGAGTTAACTATTCAAATACCATTTAACCAGAGACTAACAAATACCACTTTAATTATCCATAAATTAAGCGTTCATCTTTTGATTTCAATTCGGCACACAATCAATGGAAAACACCCTTTGCAGTAATTGCCAAAATGTAAATTTTATTCATTTCAGTGAAGATTATGATAGTGTTGAGTTTCGGAAAATTAACAAATCAAACCAAGCAAACCGTTCGTTAAACCTTAGTAACGCTTCACATGTCAGTGAATAATGTGCTGATTCTGCGTTTGATTTGTGCCACTAAAAATGGAGGGAAAATCCGAAATGGAAAAATGCCCTTAAGAGCTAATGAGTTTCAAATAAATATAATAAATGTGTGCACGTGTGCGAGGATATAAAATGCAAAATCAGTAGAAGACTAAAAAAACAAATGAACAAAATGGCACACTAAAGTTTACAAATGCAAATAAGATACTAAGCAAAGTCAGCAGCAACAAATATGTCATACGGTTAGGGAAAGAGACAGCGACAGGCGACAGACAGAGATGGAAATGGAAACGGATAGACAGATGCAAATGAGAGAAAGGGACGGGCCGACAGCAAGTGAAAGAGAGAGGGCGAGCTGACAAGCGAAAACATTTATGAGCGCTTCGTCCGTCTGTTGTTGACTTTTACAAAAGAATTGTAGAATATTTTTTAGCTATATGTGAGTATGCAAAATATTCCATGGCCTCTATATACACAGAACGCAATTTTGTATTTCAAAAATTTCCTAAGCTATTAAAACATCAAAGGCTCAGGCTTTTTTAATGAAACAAAAATTAAAGCTAAAGTCCAAATCATTCACCAAATATAAATAAGGATCAAACAAATATGTTTGAAGTAGTATTAATTCCAAATAAGAAAATAATAAAATTAATTTTTAATATAATATAAAATTCTTAGGCGTCAAAACCTTTTTGAATAAAAAAATACTTTGGTCCATATTCTACTAAAAATGTTCTGGTCCAATTAAATATTTTGCATTTAAAATATGTAGTATTCAAATAATACAACACATGTACATCAACTTCGACTTTAAGGACACCAAAAAGGTCCTATTTTTTTCCGTGGATGTGGATGGCCCACGCATACACATGTAGCTACAAGCTGTAGCTCAAACACAGGAAATGTAATTTGCATAAGAATAACACAGAGAGACGGGGACGGGAAATTGGGGAAAACAGGAGGCAAAATCGGGGCGAAAACCATGTGGATGTGGCTGCCAAGATATAGAGGGGCATATGGCACACATATTGAAGTGTAGTCTATATGGCATGCGAGGGACGGGGCCTGAAGTGTCCTTTAACGAGATTTGCATCTCATCATAATAATGTAAATGACGAACAGGGCCAACAGGGGGGAATGCAGAGGGTAAGCAACAATTTGGGCTGGCCCAAGCACAAGTTGGCCAAAAGGGTTTTATATTTAAGGCGGGATTACATATATTACATATCGCAATGAGGACCATTCACTTTGGCTCAACGGCGTCGAAGCGATTCAATTAGCTTAACCACTATGGATTTAAATTGGGATTTGGCCAGCAGCAACAGTTGAAGTTGCACACTTTAGTTGGATAATACAAGTTTAAATGCATTGCTTTTGACTTATCTGCCACAGGCAGTACTCATTTCGCCAAGTTTGCTACTTAATTCAGTAGGTAACATCATAAAACTCTCCCCACTTAATTACCTACATCGAAATACATATTTTAAGGCACAAATCTTATTAAATTATCTCTATAAGTAATTTATAAAACAAGCTAAGACAGTTTAAGTACATACAACGATTTATATTAAATAAATTAATAAAGGTTAGGTCTTGTGAGTAAAAATACGTTTAGATAAAAGTTAATAAACATAGCAGGATTTTTCATTTTTTGGAAAAGTTCAGTTTTCAAAAACAGACGTCTTCGACCATTGAAAGATTGTTAAACCGAAATCGTTTTCAGCAGTTGAGTTTCAAGTTGGACATTTGCATAGGCGGTGATGGACATGTCGAGAACATAAAATCACAACAGGAGGCATTATTGTACAAGGTTACGTACAAAACAAGGCAAGCAAGCAAATGCAAGCTTTATTTAAAAACCATTATTTATAACCTACTAATATGTGGTAAAATGTCAATATGGCGTAAACAAAAAAATTTATTTTTTGTAAAATAAAACATTTTATTTGCATGGTAATGAGATTTTTTTTATGTGTCGAATATATAATAAACTGTTATTTGTTTCAAGCTGAAATATTTTTAAGGATGTGTATAAGTTTTCTGGCAATAATATTTGTCCTCTAATTATTATGTTATTATATTTTACTAAATTTGTCTCATTATTTTAAAGCGGTTACCCTAATAGTTTTGTCCATTAATAGATTCTCTTCAATTTGTAGAATTTATTTTAAGGAGCAAATCTTTGAGAGTTGGAGAGGAAATCACGAACTCGGGGACAAAAAATAAGCTTTTGCTTTTGCTAACAACTAAATCTGTTTAATGTCCTGAAGGGACATAGTCTTCCAAGCGCGCGATTATCTGAAAAGCATCTCCAACCATAATTTTTCCTAAAGCTAAAATTTTGATAGAAATAAAAAAAGCCTAGAAAATCATAAATTTGTTTAACTTTAAATCTCTACAAAGAGAGTTTGAAAAAATGTAAGACTTCAAAAATTTTAAAATGGTCACAGAAAAAACTGTATTATTAAAAACATTTATTCAAATTGATGTAACCTGAACAATATTTTTTGTATTTATAATAGATAGCCAATTTGCATAGAAATGAGAAATATGAAAAAAAAAGTACTTACAAAATCGATATTTAAAAGACTAGTTTTCGCGAGAAACCTTTCAGTTTATTAAGAAATCTATAGAGGTGACCACTAAAATGAGCGTCTACGGTGTTATTCTTTTAATTGGTAAACGATTTTTATTTATTAATCCAAATATTAAATAAATGTGTTTTTTAAATAGCTGTTCTAGCTTTAGGTTCTTGCAATGCAGTGAGATGTATTTTGACGTGTCACACACTTGCTGGCGACTACACATCTGTTGAGATATAGTGACCAAAGTATACAAGAATTTTAAAAAGAATCTACTTCTCGAATCAGAATTTTAAATGAGAATTTAATTTTTTTAGATATAAATTAGAGTTTGGTTTATAAAATAATTCGTTAATATACATACGCATTTTTCAGACCTGGGATAATAAGCAGACATGAAACCATGAACCGCATCAAAGTACTTTTTATTTGAGCTAGGCAGACTGATTAAACTAATTATTTGATAAATAAATTTTATTAAATGCAAATTTGTTATTCACATCTATAAAAAAGAACTTAGTTAAAACTCTGAGACTGTTTACAAACTGAAGCTCACTTTAACTTTAAGGTAATTTGGAAGTATTTTAGTACCTCATTACTGATGAAAAGGATACCCTTTTTCTGTCCGCGGTCGATTAAATTCGTTGTTTGATATTCCTTTTGTCTTTCTCCACCTAATAAAAAATATAGACCTTTAGTGGTCATTTTTTTGCATTTTCTCGACCACTAAATGGTTTTCTTATTCATGGTTGGGTGGTAAATAAATATTATCTTCAGGAGAATTCAAATTCCTTTGACTTGGGTAAAGTACTAATCTTTTTCGGATATGGTAAATCTCTGAATAACCTTATTACATTTCTTTCCGTCTGATAAATTCATTTAAGTGCCTGCAGCATGTTGCAATTTTAAATTTTACGTCGTATTAGTTTCTGACGAAGCTTCAAGTCATTACCTTGTTGATAGAATATCGAGAATAGTTTGTCATCAAAGAAATCCCTTCAAGGGGAATTCCTTTGGAATTGCCAATCATTTATTTACTTTCGATAGCTCTCAAGTTTAAGGTTAATCCGGCATTTGTTTCTGGCGGTTCCCTTTAAAAGTATCACCGTATTGATGGGTCGATGGGGGGAATAGTTTTGGGGCGGGGGAAACCCTTTAGATCGGCCGTCACCTACGGCATGGCAATTTATTTCGCAACACTCCCGCTCGACGGCAGGGCAAAGTTTTGTTTCGAGGTTTATGGCCGATGGCTTCCAGCACTCCGGCCACGTCCAATATCCAACCATGCACGCAAAAGTTTGCCAAAAACTTCTCTCGACTCTAACAAATTCAATTTGTCAGGCTTGGCGCGCCTCGGAGTGCGGCTAATCCATTTACAATTTGAAAGTAAACAAACAAAATGTATCCTCAGCTCGAGCAGCTCGACATCAGCTCGACGAGACATTTAGCCCCGGTTTTGGGCTTGGGTTTGAGTTTGAGTTTTCGCTGGGATTTCCAATGAAAATGCAGGGAAACTTTCCTGCCAACAGCCAACAGTTTCAGTCGAGAGTTTATGCAGTTTTCCCTGCCTAAGTTTCTCACACTCGAACGAAAATACTAAACACTTTCTCTGAAACAAAAACTGGAGTATCAACAAAGAGTTTTTCCCAATTATTTTGGTAAACATGGTGCATTTTACGCAAATTCATATGTACTGTTTTAAAGTTTTCAGGGCAAAGAAAACTAATTTAAGTTTAAAAGCTTGACTCTCTTCCGATTCTTTCTATATTTTCTTTTCTGCATCTCATACTCAAAAAAAAACATATAAACCATTTCAGTTAAATTTACAAAATTATTATTATTGCAGTTAAAACTTCTAAATTATATAAAAAAAATATTTTTGTTACTTAAATATAAAAGATAATAATAAACCATAACGAAGTTTTTTTTCAATTTAAAAAATTTGTGTCTTTATAATATCAAATTATTTATTTTATTTATTATAATAATAATTATATAACGATACGACAATACGATTTAAAATAAACGAATACTAAGTAAAATACAATTTTTTAAGTCTTTTACTATTTGAAAAGAAAGAATTTAAAATATAACGAAAATTGGACAAATTTTTAAAAGATATTTTTCTGAGTGCAGGACAAAACTAACGACACGGCACTTGAGTAAAATAAAAACTCCCATTCTTCTTCCACTTTTCGCCTTTGCCAAAATAGACAGCCGGATGGTGGGAGGGCTTCTCGGAAGTTTATACGCCTTTAAAGCTGCAGTTGCTATTCTTTTGTATTCTTCTTTATATTTTGTTTGCCCCCTGAATCGGACCAAACAAAAGGGAAAACTGTGTGGCAAACTAAAGCTGTGCGTTCCCAGTGCAGAATTACTTATTCATTGGGCGAGGTCGACCTGGCAGCCCACATTTAAGTTGGAATTGGTTTTTAAGGCTTAAGTTCTTAAGTCTTCAAAATCAGATTTAATCCGTGATTTATGAGTTGTGAAGAGGCAATTTATGAATACTGAAAGTTTAATAAATATTCAGAGACTTAGCTAATAGTTAGGCTGATTAAAATGTTGCTATCAGACACTTAAAATTGTTTTTGAAATTGCCTACAGTTTATTCGTTCTAATAACGCTCATACGCCCTGGGGACACGCCTCAGTTTGTGTGCCAATAATGTTTGAAACTAATCAACAGATTACAATTTAATTGCCGAATCTGGTATACAAAATAATTGCCTATAAAATATATTTTATTTTAAAGAGGAGAGAACTTTTGAACTAAATATTGCGCATACGCCCTGGAGTATGTTTGGCTTAAATGATTCGCATAAATAGTTTAAATTTAGGGCAAAGACTTTTAATTAAGATTAAAATTACTCCTAGCTTAAAAGCCACATGGCGGTCAATTAATTAACGCGAATGCGCCCCGTGAACATGTTTCCTCTTAGCCTGAATTTAATTAAAAATTTGCAAGCATTTAATGCTTTCCAGTTGGCACTTAAAGTGGATATTGAAATAACAACCTTCAATCGCGCACAGTTTAAGTGGGCAAGAGCCTCCTTTACAAATTGGTCAACTATATAACTATATATAACGCATACGCCCCGTGGACACGTTTCCTTTTCGATGGCCGGGAATTTGCCTGAAAATTAAATTCGAGTATTTTGCATCCAGGCAAGAAATCTATATATAGCTATATATATACTGGTCCTTCACATACATGCACCTCTGTCTTTGTGTGTATTTACGTGAAACGCCAGCGGCGGCAATTTCTTGTACAAGAATTTGTGAGTCTGCTGCGCTCAGCACTCACGTAATGAGCATAAACTACAGGCACAAAAAGGCCAACACCCACACACAAACACGGTCCCACTAACGCCGAGATGGCTAAGAGAATATCGCGCTGCCGTGCACATAATTGGTGCAAAAAGTTTGAAAATTATCACGGAAGCAAAGCCGAAACACGTACATACATCAGCGTCAGCGGACGCGAGATGGCATAATGTGAGAGGGCACTTCCCCTGATCCTGCACTCAGAAAAAAGTTGAGCTTAGTGTCCAAAAACTTCTTCAACTTGTCATAGGGTGTAGAAACAATTCTGTAAGAGGTGTACACTAAACAAGTAATTCATTTTAAATAGTTTTTACAAAACAAAAAACATACGGCATGCCAAAATAAGATGGAATTGTTATTCAATTTAGTTATTTAATGCTAATTAAGGACATCAAAACTTAAACAATCGCTAAACTATTTTTTTAAGAACTGTGGTTAATATTTTAGAATGTGTAATTTATTTAAAGTAGATATTTTATTTCGGGTAATTTTAGTATTAGGTTCTTAAAATCCTTTTACTAAATTAAATTTATAAATCTTAATTCGTTCCTTAAATAAAGTGTCACTGTTATGTATGATTCAAAAGCACAAAAACTGTATTATTCATCTTATTTAAGCAATGATTAAAAAAAATCTTGTAGAATTTTTAATTTGCTTAACTTTTAAAATTAATAAAAAGAACTACAAATACATATAACATCTGAAGTCAATTTCTTTTCCTGACGAAATATTCTTAACTCTTTTGACTTTTAGAATCTGCATTTTTTTTTACAAACTAAATGATAATTTTTGTTTGAAATAACTTTATGCTATTATTAGATAACTTAAAACTTAATTGATAATTAATTAAGGACATAATTTTTTTCAATGTTTTCCCTTCGTTTCCCAACGTTTTTAGGCCATTTTAAGGCGGAACACCTTGTGACCCGGGCTGAGCCTTAAATAAGCATCGCCCGGAGCCGGGTTCTCTTCGCCTTCGGGCGGCCAGCGGCCAAAATTTATTGAAGCGAAGGCGACTGAACTAATCCTGTACCCTAATTACTCATAGAGCCCGTAGGTTACAGACCTCGTCCAACAATTACACCCGTGGCCCGTGTTAAGTGTTATCCTTCGAAAAAAAAACCCAAACGGAAAGGCGGAAAATGTTTCACTTTATGTTAAACTGAAGAGTTTCCGCTCTTGGTTTTTTGGGCAAGCAATTAGCCCCGGCATAGTGATTAAAAAGTGGAAATGCTAGAAGTCAAGTTGATTACATGACGATTACAATCTGCCGACTTTGAGCGCCACTGGCAATATTTATTGGGTAAAGAGAAATGTGCAACACTGGTTATAATAAGTAAAGAAAATTATATGCTTAATATAAGAATGGGCACAATCAATTTATTTTAAAATGGTTAGGACTTGCCCAGTCCGAGTTTTTGCCTAGATTTATTTTCTTAAATTTATGGTTGCTTCAGCATTTTTTATTAATTAAATATTTAAGCGCTGCTGGATAAATCAAAAATATCTGCAAATTTTGAATAATTAATTGAACTATTCATCAGTCCAAGTAAATTTAACAATTTTATTTTGAACACTAAAATGAATGGATTTTAATTGCATCTGGTTAAATTATTATAATTATTTAAGATGATTTATATTAAAAAAGTGTAATTAAATGTCATATTTTGTTATGAAAGCTCATTTGATGAAAATTAATTCATTTCACCTATTTCAACCGGCAACTCGCACACCACAATTCAAAAAGTTCATTTGGTATGCCCCAAAGACATGTTGATTCACATTTAATTTAGTGTAAAAAGCAACTTCTTTTTCATTATATTTTATGTTTACCAACTAATAAAAAGCAAAACGTTTCACTTTACGCCAAAACTGGGAAGACTTTAAGCCCCATGGGCGACTCAGAATTACACTGGCCTGCAAGAGTGCTATTAAGTGTGCACTGGGTGGTGTTTCTGTGTGTTTGCTGGCCATTAAAAAGTTTTCCGTTTCCTCGACCGTTTTCCCGCTGCTTCTGGAAGTCGGCTACCGGGTGGATACTGCTCCTGATTCCGATTCAGATCCGGGTGGTGCTGCCATTGGCACCTGTGTGTTGCCAGTTGCACCGGCAACTGAAAATACGTTTGCATATGAATTTTTCAAAATGTTTTTTGCGTTGACCCCGTTTACGGGTCAGGGCGGCTATGAAAAGTTTGCCCTGCAAACTAAATTGCCATTTGCAGCTGGAGGAAGGAAGACACGGTAGCCGGCTTTGAGTTTTTTCTTTCTT